TTTTTTTTTAAATCGTATTTTATTTAAATAAACCTACATTTATTACTATATTTTTTTATTTCACATTTGCCAATATATGTTCAGAGATATCCGTCAAACGCCTAGTATCCTTAAACTTATTCAGCTGGTCTTCCAGAATTGCAATCCTCGTCACGTATTTGGGCTTATTGTGTTCTATCTCAGATTCCAACTTTGCCAATATTAGAGTCATAAAATCCTTAGTTATTATACGAGTATAAAGGTCTTGTAATTTATGTATTTTATAATCTGCATATTGCATTGTAACTGCATCAGCCTTATCTATTGGCTCACTAAGGTTTATTATTCGTTTTTCTTGAATGTTATAGTCGCCACTGGGTGTTAATTTATATCCAATTCCGGGTATGCTGCGCAACACTTCAACTGTTTTATGTATTTTATCATCTGCATATTGCATTGCAACTGCATCAACCTTATCTATTGGCTCACTAAGGTACATTCTTCGTTTTCCTTGAATGTTATAGTCACCACTGGGTGTTAATTTATATCCAATTCCTGGCATGCTGCGCAACACTTCTACAGTATCATGAATATTCTTACGACCGAATTTATCAATTGTTTTGTTAGTCGCCATCTCTGAACTAAACTGTTTTCTACGGAAGTACTATTATTATATGAATTTATTATTAAGTGGAGTAACACCCCCCTGTTGTTCAGTTTTAATAATATGATTTACTCTTTTTTCTAACACGATAATCCTTTGGATGTATTCTCGCGTTTTTTCTTCCACAGTTTTTTTTATCGCGTTCATCATTTTCTCTTCCACATCATTATTCAATATATTTGCAAATGCTTTGTTCAATTGAACAAGTTCCTTGTCAATATATTGTTTTGTTATAGCATCTGTCTTATCTCTAGGATGAGCGACATTCGTTAAACGTTTTTGAGTTATGTCGTAATCTCCACTGGATGTTAATTTAAATCCTATTCCAGCAGCACCACGTATTGTACGCACTTTGATATTATTTCTTTTGCGTCCAAACTTGTCAACTGTATTGTTAACAGGAGCCATATTCAACTATAACTAAAATATTTTCAGTAATTGTTCTTATTTATATAAATATATATAATAAAAAAAAACAGGGTGATAGTAGTAGTACATATTTATTGATGACGTTTTACAATTTGTTTTTCATGGTAAATATATAATGTGTAGGTATAAAATGTATTAGCCTAGGCTAGCTGCTACATCGACTTCCATGTTATCTACTGTGTCAACATCGTTCGAGACACTACTGGTTCCGTCTTTTTGTAATGCTGGATTGATGGTTGCAGAAAATGTCTCTTCATAGAGGAGATATTTCTCAGAAATATCATCTGGGATATGTGGAATTCTAAGTAAAAAACTTCTTAAATCTTCCTCCACCATTTCAGAGCAAAATGTATCCAGACTAATGCTACCATACACATACTTTTCACACAAATGTGCTCCAATACGATAGTTTATTGAGGTTTTAAGGTATTTAATATATTTCTCATCATCATCATTGTCTCCAAGAAGATTTAGGAATTTCAGGGTGTCGCCACATATTTTTCTCAATTGTACAGCTAATTTATAAACGTGTAACATTTGGCCTTCATCATATGCATTAGAATCATACTTTTCAGTGACAACGTCGCACATCTTTAACAAGAATACATGTGTGAGTATTCAATGAATGTAATTATTACAAGTTACTTAACATTTTATTACATTTTTTTTTAATATTATATTAATAAATGTTTACTCCAACACACCAAAATTAAGGAGGGCTCTAGTATTTCCACCAGCTAATACCGAACTCTGCCCTAAATAACATAAATAATATTTATCATCGAATTTATTTATGAGCTGTACTAGATCATCTGTGAAAGTCTGAACAACACGTTTTGGTAGAAATGATTGGAATGTTAAGTTACTTGTTTTATCGTGTAATGTTGCTAGAATTGTTTTTCCAAAACGTGTTGTCATCGACACCATATTTTTAATAATATATATTTTTCCCACTGTCAACGATGATATGGATTTACGTTCGACTAATTCAATTTCTTCAAGCTTTTTATTAATTTGTTCAAATGTATTCTTTGAAATACTCATTTTAAAAAAAATGTAATAAATATTTGAAAAAACTTTTACGCAATATACCTTCAAACACTTTTGAATACACCACACAATGTTTCTTTGGAATGTATACACACGACTTGTTACTTTACAAGAGATTCTATATCTGAATACGTTTCCATGAAAGTCGCTTTATATACACAATGTTAAACTACCCCCCACCTTGGCAGCCTAGAAGAACATTCATGGTGACTAATTTCAAAGACATCTGAAAGTCAATCTTACAGGTCGTTCAAGATTGTCCATCAAGCTCCTTGTGAAGGGTACACAAACGCATTTCAAATACATCTGAAAGTCAACCTTAAAGGTCGTTTAAGGTCTCACAACAAGGTTCTTTCTGGAATCACTCAAGGAGGTTTGAAAGCCACATATGTCAAGGTCAAGCGAACTGCGCATGTGGAGGAGCCCAATCGGCTAATATCTCCTACTAGTGTGGATTAATAATATCCGCTACGCCGACGATACGGTCTTAACCTACAACAACTGGTCAACAAGGTAGGAGAACAGAGCAAAGCAATGGGTTTAAACATGAACATCAATAAAACCAAATTTATGATAATATCCAGAAACCCAGATGTCTTTATAAACTCCATCCTAACATTTAACTCAAGGCCCATAGAAAGAGTAGATAAATTTAAGTACTTGGGCATCTGGCTTTCCGAAGATTGGACTTAAGACAAGGAAATTAAATGTCGCATCGAACAAGCTCGACAGGCATTTTTGAGGTTTCGAAAAGTACTTGTCTGTTCTGATTTTGACCTTGGCCTTAGATTAAGATTCGTAAAGTGTTATGTGTGGTCGGTGCTCCCTTATCGGAAAGTTGGACACTGAAAGCAGCTATCATCATAGAATCCTGAAGATACCTTGACGGCTAGATGAAGAAGTTTTCAGACGTGTTGAGAGAGAGAGAGAGAGAGAGATAGAGAGAGAGAGAATGTCTTGGCTGAGGAATATTAGACAGTGGACAGGGCTACACTATGTTCAGTCGTTAATACACTAGAGACCTGCACGGGCCGATTTTTTGTAGCCCGACCTGGCCCGGCTCGCGAAGAGAAGTAGGTTTTGTAAGCCCGGCCCGGTTTGTGGAAAGTTAAAACTTTAAACTAGTCTGGCCCGGCCCAGCCCGGCCCGAACCATTAAAATAAAATGATCAAAATAAGATAACAAATATACGTATGTATACGCAAAATAAAAAAACGTAAACAGAAACAGCCTTAAAATATCTGTTATAATACAAGATGTCTCAAGAACATGTACAGAAGCAAAGTTGTGTTTTTTTAAAGTGCAGAACCGGCCCAGCCCGGTGCCCGACCCCTATTGACAGTTCGAGACCGACCCGGCCCGAGGCCCGGGCTTGAGGCCCGTTCGAGCTACCCGGCCCGTGCAGATCTCTATAATACACACCGCCGGAACAGAGAAGCAACGGAAAATGTTATCGTAAACATCCATTAATGGATCTGCACTAGAAGAAGAAGAGTATTAATAGGAAAACTATTATGGTAACAGCTGGCATCAAAAACATACATTATTGCATGTTCTATTAGTATGCACTTTAGTAAGCTTCCAATGTTGAAATATACTACTACTACTACCGCCATTACCCGCTGACGAGTATTTGACACGCATAAGAAGATGGTTACGAAAAGCGTTTTCTTTCATGAGCTTTTCTGTGACTGAAAAGCCTGATACGTGATATTATCTCTCTTCCCTACTCCGGACATCCTAAAAATTCATTGCTTTGTTCCCTCTTTACTTTTTAGTTATCGCTGTTAACTGAGTTTCCAAATCCTCTCCACTGCATTCTATTGTGCGTCTATTCCCACTTCATTCTGCATTCCTTTAAGTTTTCGTGGAAAATATCACTATCCCTTTTGAGTTGTCCACCCGCTTTTCTCTTATCGTCTACAAGCTCACCATAAGAAGAGATTTTCGTAGGCGGTTCTCTTGCATTCTGCATACGTGACCAACCCATCTTAAGCGGGATTTTGTAATCATGACTTCAACGCTCTCGCAGCTACCTTTTCCAAGACCGATACGTTTGAGACATGGTAAAACCATTTGATTCTTAAGAGTTATCTCAGGTGTCTCTGTTGCAACTTGTTTAATGCGTTCATGTGTCAGGGGTACGGCACCCAGGTTTTGCTTCCATATATCATAGTGGGGATTATTATTGCTCAGTACACTGCAAGTTTCGCTTTAGTGCTCAAGTCATGGTTATAGAAAACCCTGTCTTTTAATTTCCAGAATGCTCTTGAGGCGCTGCTAATCATGTGCTGAATTTCAAAGTCGATGTTGGTCTTTTCCGAAATCAAACTACCCAGGTAATTGAATTCCACTATATATTCCAATAGTTCTTTTGCGATGTTTATAGCATTGTTGTGATCTTCCGGGGTAAGCACATGATTTTAGTTTTATCGATGTTCAGCTTAAGGCCTTAAAACCTCGGATGCCCAGGTATATGTGTTCAACATTTTTGTAAATGCGTTAACGTTTTCGCAACTAGAGGGCCGTCATCAGCGTACTGAAGTTCTGTGATGAATTTTGTACGTTTTTTTGCCCGCGAGTCTTTTTATGTTGAACAGACTGCCGCGCCGTCGTATCTGTATCTAATGCCCAATCCTCTCTTCTGCAGTTAACTCTTGTGAAATATATCAAATATAATGAAAATATCTTCTTAGACGCCTATAATTAAAAAAAAAATGTAATTTTACGGTTTTTGAACCATCAAAATGTGAGTGATGTTTGAATTTTGTTGTATTTATTACTAGTATCTCTTAATAAGTAATCACACACATGTCTATTTTCTTAAATAATAATATACACCATTAAATAATAATATACACCATTTTTTTCCTTACAGTGACTCCATAATAATTCCAATATGCAACAGTGGCACGAGCATAGTGGCCGGATTTGTCGTCTTCTCCGTTTTGGGCTATATGTCGCACAAGACCGGAATTCCGGTTTCGTCGGTGGCTACCGGAGGCCCGGGGCTGGCGTTCGTCACCTACCCGGAAGCAATCAGCTTACTGCCTTGGTCCAATTTGTGGGCGGTTTTGTTTTTCCTTATGATTTTCTTTCTCGGGCTTAGCAGCGTGGTAAGAATAACAACATAATATATTTTAATTTTAAATACATCAAATTTATGACCAATAATGTTTCATGTAAAGACAGTACAGGGTATTACATTTTCGTGTGTTGTATGCGGTTTCTGATTTATGAGTAGCGATAACAAGATGCAGTTTTCACGTTAGGTAAACTACTACATGCTTTTTTTTTATAAAACTAAAGCTAAATACAGATTTCTTCCAGCCCTCTTAGTTCTTGAAATACAGTGCGAATTTGAAAATGTTCTGTTTTCTCTCTCCGTATATTGGAAGATAACCAATGTACGGAGACATATAAATTATCGAAAAGGTGAAAACTGAGTCTCATAGAGCTTTTCACGTAGAATCCACGTGTGCAATTATTTTTTCCCTGGAAGCAATATCTTAAGGTGGGTATTCACTTGCAACAAAACACTTCGAACGAATCAAACGCGCCGCGCACTCCAAACAATCTGCAACAAAACATTTTCCGGGCGCGCTCTGAACGACCTGCAACAAAACATTTTGCGCGGAGCGTTCCGCCTGTTTGCGGTGTTTGCTGCGTTCCCACCAGTAATCCTCTGTACCTTTGCTTTCCAATGTACAGAGTGACATTCAAAATATTACCACCCCCCTGTAATACAGCCTTCACTGTTTTTATATTTATTGGTTTTATTAATTTTACTCTTTTTTTTTCTTTTTTACTTTTTCTTTACTTAAGCAAAAATTAGTCAAACCGACCAACATAAGATGCGTTCTACATTTTCGGTATCTCTTCTAAAATGCAAATATTTATAAGAAGGCTTGTATTATGACCAACATAATAGAATATATATGGTCTTCTTTCAGTTTGTGTCTACAGAAGCTGTTATTACTAGCATAACTGATGAATTTCCAATATTAAGGAAATATAAGTTGTTTATAGGATTTTTCTTGTGTATCGCTATGTGGGCTGGATCTACATTATTTACTACTGATGTAAGTGAACTTTACTATTTATTATTAAGCATATATTTAAAAACAAGATTTATATAAAATTAAATATAAAGATTAAAGAATTAAAATTTTTTATTTTTTTAAATATTTCTTAATTGGCGTTTGCAACAATATGTTATCTATATTTTAATATTATTTTCTGTTATTCTCTGTAAAGCATATAATATTTTCTCCTAATAGTAGCTTTAATTTTAGAAATTTTACTAAGTAAATATTGTCCGTTTTTATAATATAATATTTTGTACAGTTTTCAAATATAAAATTAGTTCGTACCAGCTCTCTCTATTCCTCAAATGACATACCTCCTTTACTTTAATTTCTTATTTATTTTGGGGTATAAGAGTTTAAATTATATAACAGATTTTGCAAGAAGAATTTTAGGTGAGATCCATATAAGGGCGTACGCTTCTTGTTCATTAAAAATTCTTATGAAATTATAATAATTAAATATTCAGAAACTCAAAGTTATTTTAAAATAATCTAAGTGATATGGTTTTGAAGAAATATTAATATAAACATTATTAAACTAATTCTATATAAAGTCTTAGGATTATATTAGTTTATGCTTAAAGATATATTACTATAATTATTGTTAAACTTTTAATTATATATATTTTTTTTAATATAAATGTGTGACTTTTTACATAAATTGATGAAGTATGATAAAATTATCATTAAGGAACTTTTTATCACATCTTTTACAGAGCGGAATATATTGGTTATCCCTACTAGATTGGTATTCCGCATCAGTTACTATAATATTGATCTCAATAGTTGAAGTTATTGTAATAGGATGGACCTATGGCGTCACAAACTTCGTTAGTGATATAGAATTTATGGTTAAAGAAAAAGTATCATGGTTCTGGATTGTCAGTTGGAAAGTGACTACCCCACTTATCCTAATTGTAAGTTGAACATTTGATAAACCTTAAATATACTTGAAAATAAAACCCTTTTACTCTGAAGGCTATGTTTATAATAACTATTTCTTATAACACGAGAATATCATATAACGGCAAAGAGTATCCGGACTGGGTAGTTAGTATTGGATGGACATCGTGTTTTGCTTCTATGGCCTGGATTCCGATTTGTATGGGTTACCATTTGCTATACAAAGAAGACGGAGATCTAATTGAGGTGTAACTATTTAGTGCTTAATACTTCTTTGAAATTACAGTTTCTAACTTTTAATAGAGGATAGGGGAATCTATAACGCCTAGTCTAGAATGGGGACCTGCTGACGAGAGAATTAGAGTACATTGGCTAAAAAATGTTGTATTTAAAAGAGCGGGTAAGAATATATTTACGATATAAAAATGATATTATTTAAATCTTTTTTCTTCAAGAAGAAACCTCCCTAGTCGAAATTGATCCAATTCATCAACAGTTCATCGAATTGACAACTACAGTCTGATACAGCATTAGAAATAAGACTAGACTGCTGAAAATAAATAAGCTCTTATATTAACTTCAATACTTAGGCTAAGCGCTGACATGCAATTTCGAGTCGGGCGATTATTATATCTGCCAACTAGGCATCTCCGCTTCCTTATGCCGGGACCACACCAAACTGTGCAAACCAGGCGACCTGTGATGCTGGATGCCGGCAAAAGTCAGGTTGCTAAAATAATTAAAAAGTTGCGGCAACCAAAACCCAGCGACACGACTTGCTCTGCTCGAAATGCTTACAGCCGAATGTCGGTAAAAAACGAATATTGAGCAACCGGTAGAGAGCAATTTTCTGCTATCCACTTTTCTTAAACTTATAAAAATCAGAAAGACATATATTAAAAAAAACACTTCTTAGCTTAGATATATTTAGTAGAAGATATAATAATTTTCTATTTGAGATTAAAATTGGTTCCGGTGCAAATAAGTTAAAACCTTAGTTAAAAATATATGTTACAAGTTATTTGGATGTTGGATGGCTATAGTTACACACCGACTGTTTGATCATAATATAATATGTGTGCGTATCTCCATAAGAAATTATTTGTTTAAATTCTGCAACTAAACAATTGGCCGACTAGAAATTGTAGGTTTGACCTACCACCTAGACTTACATTTCCGACATTATATTTTTACCAAAAATGAAAAAGATACCACTTAACTTAATATGTCTATGCAAAATAACTGAACAATATTTAGTAATAAATAATATACATATAGTACAATGCTCTCTCTAATGTTTTATATTATATTGAAGATACTTTGTTAATATATATTTAAAAGAAATTAATTTTGTTTTGCATTTTAATTGCTCAGTTCAAATTCTTCTTAAGTATAGAATAACAGGCCGTCTATTTTAAACAATATTACCACATAAATAATCTGTAGTGTAAAGTAGGACACTAGAAAATTTAATCAACACGAAAATTAAAACAACTTGTATATTTTGATATTAATTACATATATGTAAGTGGTAGGTTTCCCTTTTAACAAGAATCTTCTACGATACCTGATCTAATTTTAAGAAATAAATTTCCGTTTGTTCTTAGTTATATACGGATTCCTTACCATCGTATAGCTTTCCAGGTATAACAATAAATTAATTTTGTTATACAATTTACTGTATATAATATTAACTACTATACTGCTAAGGCTACATAAAATTAGATACATACTCGACATTTACAGCATTTATATTTTTCTTTTGTAAACATGGTTAGCTTTTTTCTTATGCAGGATGCATAAACATAACATTTTATCGTAATAATATATTACGACGTTTTTGAAAAATTTGTTTCAAATTATTCTCTTAAACGGCCTTTACACTATGCGAGAACTCTTCAAAATGGGTTAAGGTCGTATATCGTGGCCCAACTTTGTCGCATTTTGATTCATTTCCAGTTGTCTTGACCCACTTCAGTTTGCCTCGACCTACTTTCGATTCTTAAATGTGCCTAAAAACTACTCGTGAGAAGGGCGTGGGGGGATTTCTTTTTTTTTGCGTTTCCTGTTGCCTCGTTCAATTTTGTTTCGTTTTGAGCCATTTCCAAAACGTGGCGATATCTGTACCCGAGGCAAAGGATTTTTTTTTCATAAATCTCAGGGAAATAAGTAAACCTAGATGTTTCTAAAATAGCTGTTGTTACGATAATGTTTCATTACTTACATCTCGTTTTATGTTGATATATATTCCTCAAAATTAATATTTGAACACGCGTTTATAATATGTAGAGTAGATATTTAAGAACAAAAATTTTCACTCAATCTGCAGGAATATAATTACAATATGTTTATTATTAATTTTATTATAATGAATTAGTATATCAAATTTTATCTGTTATGTTTGTTTACGCGGCCTTAATTGATTAATTTAACAGTAGTATTGCTTGATGAGTAATATAGGCAACATCATCAATATATCGAGCTGATTGGGAAAACTATTGATTGGCCCGATGTCAATAAAAGATTTTTTTATATATAGTAATAACATAGAGTGTTGTAAGATTTTATTTTTAACTTTCAATAGCGGGTAAATAAGTATGAAAAAAAAAATAATAATTTTTGTAAATAATTATTGTGTTTATTACATAAACTTTGTCACACTTAGCTACTTAAGGTTATTTATACATAAACTACTTGACTCTTAATTTTAACTATGTATTTGTGATTTGTATAAATAATGTGTTTCTCCTAAAAAAAAAAAAAAAAAATTAACAGATTTTTGTGATAAGTTAATTTGAAATTGGCATTTTGTTATAGACACTAGCTACACTGATGAAGGCTGTAATGTTGGCCGAAACGTTTGGTTATTTCCTTTAAAAATGAAAAAAAATAAAAATATGAAAACCCAAATGAAAACTTAATCAGAGTTTTCCCGAACCTAAATCCCAAGAAAATTAAAAAAAAAGTAATAACATAGTTTTATATAAATCCATTCAAAAATAAGAAATAATAATTAGATTAACAATTTTTTAATAGTTTAACACCGTGGATGATAACCTATAAAATGCGGGCCGCCAGAACAGTTTTACGATTTTAATGATTATTATTATTAACGATTTACTATTTTAAGTTTTGGAAATACATTTGTTCACTATATTGTAATTAATAATGTTAGACAAAGATTAAAACTAAATATTCTTGTCTATCCTCAGAGGAATAGCCGATTTAATCTACCATCGGTAACTGTTTTCCAAATGCACTGTTTTTGATTTTTCATATCAGTTTAATATAATGATATTGCATTACAAATTAATGATATTTATTCGTGCTCTACAATTACTTATTTTTCTGAAGCCACCACAACGGTTGACCTTGATTCCTTCGTGCTATTTCACAAAATAGTACGATAAATATAAACCCGTGTTATAAAAATTAGTTCCCACGTTTCTTCAAATTGATCGAGACGCGCCGTGATTGGTTGTTTGTTCTTTATTGTTAATCTGTATTAACAATAAAATAAATAATACATTTTTATAACACGGGTTTATATTTGAGTTTACTTCTGAAAGTACTTCCAGAAATGTTTTGCGAAATATTTTACGAAATATTTCCAGAAATATTTCGTAAAACATTTCGTTTTCATTTAGATAGTGCAGAGGCTGTTTTACTATACTACTATTTGTCATAGGATAATTAAGATATTATTTTAATAATTACATTTTAATGAATGTTACTTCCAACCTCCATTAGTTTCTCCAAATCAATATATTTTTGTATAATTACAAATATTCTTTTTTAACTAGTCCTGATGTATTATTACATTTTTTAAACAAAAAATTGTAATCTTCAGTTCTTCAAACCAGTTTCATGGTACGGAGTTTAATGTCACCGAATATGCGCGAATATACCCAATTAAGTCCAATCTAACAACAGAAAGGGGTTCCAATTCAACTCGGAAAATTTGAGCCACTCTATGTAACAAATTAACGCGGCTAACAAATTAAATAAAAGCTTGTAAAAAAACAAAGTAACTAATGATAGATACATAATTATGATCAACCCTGTACCTACAGGTGTATTTAAAGCATTTGATTGAAGTCTACATGTCAAATTTATAAAGTCAAAAAGCCGGGCAAATTTTAGTTTATAAATTTTTGTTTAAAAATTATTAGTGCTTTTTGTTTATAAATTATTGTAAAATCATTTCAAAATGGTTCAGTTTGAAGAGCCGATAAAAACTGAGAAAGAGACGCGACCACGGAAGAAAACAGCATATGTCATAAAGAAACCGGATTTGGAAGCTCTAAAGAAGAAATCACAATTATGGTGGGGAAAAGAAAGTATTCAATATGCGTAAGTCCAAATCATTAACTCTTTTAGATTAATTAGTGTTAAGCTTGTAGTATTTTTTTGACAGACTAATTATTATAGATAATATACTACATACCCCAGTCAAATTTTACATTACCATAGACACGCGTTTTAGTTTTCAGAAAAATTCAACCATATTTTCATGTTTTTCTTAATTTTCTCTAAAACGGTGTGGAAATTTGGAAAAGTATAGGTGGGATTACCCATAGAACAAGCAAAAATTTTTATGAAGAATGCATTTTTCTCAAAATGTCAATAAAAAAGTTTTTCATCTTATAAAGACAATCCGGGGACATACTGTAGAACAGAACCAGTTATTAAAAACTATGAATGTAAAAAAAGAATACCAACAGAAACAGTTATTAGCGACTAAATTTAAAAAGTAGAATAATATTGATAATGAGCAACGAGAAATAATAAATAAAAATTAATTAAATTATCCGTTACCAGTGGAAGAAGAAAAATAAGTAAGTACCAAATGCTTGGAGAAATAGTCGAAACACATCGTACCACTGCGTGGCGAATTTTAAGGAAGTGAAATTTTAAGCTATTTAAATATTTCAGGCACAGAGAATTATTGAACGGGAGGTAAAAAACGTGGGACAATTTTTTTATATTTTCGCCTAATTTAGAATTTTTGTATCTCTCATAACTCAAAAACGAATACGTATAAATTATTCGAAATGAACAATTTACTTCATTTTAAGAAATTCTTTAAAAAGTTCCAAATACTTATTTCTGTAATCTGGACATCATTCTTAAGATTTACATAATATTTCCTATGTTTGAAGATGCAACCCACAGTACTTATAAGCCTAAAAATATTTATTTTCCTATAAGTTCTTCCTAGTAACATCCACAGTGTCACTTTGATAAAGCCATTTTTTTGCTGTCGAGGACTGACTTTTTAATAACGGTGTTTATTCTAAGAAGACAAATTGTATGGGACAGCCCGCTGACATCGAACATCGATCGCTCTAGGTCAACACCCCCACGTTTTTTGCTCAAAAGAAAATTGCATGTCACTCGAAAACCTAACGTGACGTATTGAGATGCTCTCGAGTAGTTTTTATAGGGCCAACTTGTTTTCGCCTATTTATCTTAGCTGTTTCTTTGCCTGTCACGGAAATAATTTCTTATTTTTCATTTAAATTCACTAGATTATTCTATATCAAATTTATAGTTTCAGTGTAGAATTTATTTCAGAGCGTTCTATACATTCCAGAATTGATTAAGGTTTCTGACGAACATAATATTTCGGTTGTTTATCAAATTATAGATTTGAGTGAAGGTTAAAAATGAAGGGATCGAAGAACAATATGTGCGAAAAAAAATTCAGCAACAACTACTTTTTTACTATACAGGGTGTCCCAGAAATAAGTGCAAGTATTTTACGGGGTGGTAGATCTCGATAAAAGAAACATACTTTCTCTTTATCGTTTTTCAAATAAGTCCAAAATAACGGAGTTATTTTACTTTGAAAATTTCCAAAAAAAAAATGATTTTTTGCTAAAATTTTGAGAACTGGATCTTTCTAGTTTTTTTTCTTGTAAATTTAATTTAATAATATAATATAATATATAATAATACTTATGTTGCCAAATTATCAAGAAATTAGGTTTTTTAACTAAAAACTAAAAAAAAAATTCGAATTTTGAATTTTGTTTTTTTGCGAAAAAAACTCATAGGCGTGTTTTTGGGGTTGAATTATTCTACGAGTTAAAATACTTCACTTATTTCTGGGACACACTGTATAACAAATAATACAGTCTCAACAGTTTTCAGTTACATCGGCGGGTTTAAGTGATTTCTTTAGTGATTGGTGAGTGAGAAAATATATTGTTATACAGGGTGGACCGAACTGTATTCCGGAAACTTCGGCAGTATATTCTGCAGATAAAAATAAGTAAAAAAGTCCGTATAAATGTATGTCCTATATTGCTTAGTTTCGGAGATACAGGGTGTAGAAGTTTCATTTTTATTTCGATAGTTTCCAAATAATTTCTGAAGTAAAGTCAATATTTGGATAAAAAATAGTGTGTGAATAGTGAAATTTGATTTTGATGTCAATATGACTCCTATTTGTAGGGGACGCCACCTACATGTATTTTAACTATTTTGAAGATTAATAACTTTTCGTCCGCACCTGTATAAAACTACTGAAAGAAAAAATTTACATTTCTGTGATTTTTTAAGTAAAAAGTGTTTCTTGGTAAAAATCGCTTCGAGCAATCGCTCTCAAGATATTTAGAATGAAAGTATTCAATACGCATCATTATTAACAAAAAATAAACATGTTTTGGGTAGATGGTTATTTGACTGAAATTATAAATTTCGGAACTTGTTATTTTTTTAAATTATTTATACATTTTTCTTCGAAAAAATGATGATAAAACAGTTTCTGTTGAATTTTTGACACAAAATCATTTTAAATTTATGATTTCAGTCTAATGACTATTTAGTCAACATATGTTTAATTTATGTCAATGATATAATTTGATAATTTCGATTCCGAATATCTCGAAAACCGTTCCTCGTAGCGATTTTTACCAAGAAATCTTTTTTACATAGAAAACGTGGTAAATATATAACTTTTTCCTCAGTAGTTTTATACAGGTGCGGACAAAAAGTTGTTGCCCTTCAAACCAGTTAAAAAATATGTAGGTGTCGCCCTCTACTGCAAGTAGGAGTCATATTAACATCAGAATCAAATTTATCGTGTCAAAAAACTTCCAGATACCAATTTTTATCCAAATATTGGTGTTATTTCAGAAATTATTTGGAAAAAATCGATTTTTTCGGAATACGGTTTGGACTACCCTGTATATTAATTAACACCCAACTCTGTTTCCTAATGCCCTGTTTGTCTTGGTTCGCTAGTTAATCCTATCAATCTCTAATCAATTGCATTTTATTAAAGATTATTATAATTGTCTTCTGTCCAAAGTATAGTTCTTCAAAATAATTACTCAGATGTATAATCCTAATAAAAGTCCTTTGTATTAGGAAAAAATAGCTCATTAAGCCTTATTATAATATATTATCCGCATATTACTATAAATACTGAAAGAATTTTAATTAATCTATTTCTAAAAGTAATCTAAAATAAAACTAGTAAAGCTTATTACCTTATTTTGTTTTTGTTGATTTATTATGTTTTTGGTGCTTTCTTATAGCCTCCTGAAATTAATTACATTAATTTTAATGGAAGAAAATATATACAAATAATTTTCCCTTTACACAAAATGAATGAAAAGAATATTTATCATAAAGCTTATTTTTGATCAGTAACATAAATATAACATTTAGTAAAATCAAAAGTTTATTTTTAGAAAATAGATTCTTAAAAATCTTAAAAAATATATATTAGCTCTTGAGGATACCAACCAGTGCGGAAAAAAGATAAAAACCTCCCCTGGTTTATTTCTTGCTAATATATCCAAATTTTAGAGATTCTGCTTTAATCAACTTGATTTTAATATTAATATATTTTTTTTCCTTTCATTTTTGATTTCTTTTAAACATGACCACTTTTTGTAAAGGTCTCATGTCTGGCCGAAATTCAAAAAGGCTAATAAAATATACATGTATTTAAGTTCAGAAATTCCGTTAAAATATAAATATCGAAGAGAAAGTAGAACAATAATTGTAATATTATTATATTAAAAAATTATAAATACACATATGGCCAAAATTATTGCATATATCGTTTAAAATATACGGAAAGGAATTTAAAAAAAGTTATATGGAATAATTTTGGCCATGTGTGTATGTCGCAATGACCCAACTACATGGAAACATATATGTTCCAGAGCCATCATCGAAGTTAAGCGACATTACTTGTGGGTATATGAACGGATAAACACTTCAACATACATCAATAAACAATTACTCAAGAGTATAATAGGTTTTAAGCATTAAAAACTTTTGAGCAATTTTTTAACTCCGGTTTTTGACATTTGTCTAACAATGATGGGAAAGCAATTGACAATTTAGAACAGAAGCCTAAACATATTATATTTTTGAATAGAGAAACAATGCACGTTTTACTAATGTGTTTATTGCGCGTTGATATTGATTAAGAATTTCAACATGCTTCTATTTGAATATAAATATATTATAATTTCCAAATATTATTCTTACAAATATCTCTAAAACGCAAATTAAACATTGTTGAATGTACCATCGGCACTGCGGCATCTAGTTTTAAGTCCTTAAACTCAGAAAAGTATGGCTTTCCAAAAGCTTTGTTTAGAATGGAATAATTACACTATTGCGTAACCACAAATATTTCTCGAAAATACTATGAATATATTTGCGTCGGCTAATGAAACTCGCTACCTACGAAAAGACAATAAAATACGCGAAAGTTATATCGTTTATATGTTGTAAAAAGGGTTCCTCAAACCCATTTAGTGTAGTATTCAAAGAAAATGTAACAAAAGCAAACAACACCAGTCATGTCTTCGTCTATTAATGCTCCATACATACAATATTCGTGTGAGGGGCTTATAAAGAATACGGTTCATCGTTCTTACTGGATTTTATAACGTAATAAACACCTTTTGTACGTTTTGCACTGTCTACCCTACTAACAGGCAGTTCATATTCGACACGGCTTCAAGTGGAAAGTTTCATTTCGCAACTGTTTGTTAGCTTGTTTGACGGTAATAAGCGAATTGGGAGATCGTGAATCGCGTTAGACTGGATATTAATTGGTTTGCCATGAAAAGGAGTATTTTCGGCATTCTGAGTGCATTGATTGACGATAAATGTCAGCAAAATATTAAGGAAAAACAGAGTACCGTAGATGAGTGGGTGGATGTAGTGTTTAAGAGAAGCAGAGTCAGGTTTGGAGAGCACGATTCTTTAGAATATATTAGTCCGGTCAGAAGGTTATCTGAAATTTCCGAAGATGATTTTAGTGATAATATAGAAGAAGTATTAGAATTCCGACGAAAAATTAAAATTCGTAGTTTGGT